AAGATTCTCTCCAGACCTGAGTTGGTCTCATGATTCTCTCAGGGTAGAATTTTTGTAAAGATTAATAGTGCATAATACTCCTGTTTGTTATATCGTAACAGCATATAACTATATCTTTAAAAACTGTCTTATGGGGCCCAGAGAGATGGCTCAGTAGAATAAGTGCTTCCCTGGCAAGCGCAAGGCCCTGCGTTCAATCCCTGGTTCCGAAAAACAAAACAAAACAAACAAACAAACAAAAACCTATTTTATGCAGTTTATGGTAGTTGAATGGTATGGAGAGATCAGGTTTTTGTCTAGCTCCAGCAGACTGTAGTAGTAGGGTTATGGGAAATCAGGAGGCATGATGTGGCCAGCAGTAGAGAGCCAGCAGTTGCCCTCTACCGTTCTAACCATCAGAACTGAGAGTTAAGAGACAGATGTTTATTCCAGACAAATCCACAAGCTAATCTTTCTGAGAACTAACCACAGTGTCCTGCTGCTAGCTTCTTCCACTGCACGATGTAGAAGATGATATCTCAGACCACTTACAGTCCTGGAATTTGGGGATTCTGAAATCTCTGGAGAGGAATTTCATTAGTCAAATCTTATTCACAGTTCCATTTCCCAAAGGGATGTTTTGTAATGTTCAATAAGACAACACCACAATTCCTGGGTGTCTTCCTAAGACAATGGCAAGGAGGTCATTTGGCTTTACTGTTGGACATTGATGACACAGCCTAATATCAGATGCCCAAGAGAAGAAAGCAAATTTCAAAAACTAAGAAAATTCAACTCATTCATTCATCTTTGTGCCTTGGACTCACTTTTATTCTCTTCATTGCAATAGACCAAGAAGTAAATGATGTAATTTGTTTTTGAAGTGTCTGAAGGGCACATATTTTTATACTTAAAACATCTTAATGTTGACTCTGAGTAAATCTTACCGGAAATGAGAATTGTGACACTGTAGGTTTTCCAAGGCAGTGATTTGTACAGAGGCTGTGATTGCAAAATCACCAACATTTCACAAGAGCGGAAGCCTCTAATTAACCATAATAAATGACAGGATGAATTTGTTTTAAGTACGTAGTTAATAATGCTTATAGTTTTAAGAACATACACAGGGATTTTCTATTGGGACAAAATAGATACATCGCAAATGATTTTGCAAAATACTTTTGTACCTCTGAATGTTAAGTTTGAGTCAGAACATTCTACTAACATTGAATCAGGCTCTCATCTGATGTAAGTTGTCTGTGGGAATTGTATTGGCCATAAAAACCAGCTCTTCTTAGTTGCTGTAGTTAAAAAAAAAAAAAAAGGCAGCATAATGCTATGATGCATTTCAAATGACTGAAACCAGTCATTCCTAGATACTGAGACAAGAAGAAAAGGTCAAACAAGACCTTTAAATGTGTATGTGTATTTAAACATCAGACCTAACAGAAAACCCTGAAGCTTTGTACAATCATTGGAGCCTTGTAAGAGCCCAATTAATGTATTGTTAGGTGAATGGTTTTCCTGGCACTCAGCTGTTCTGAAGGACACAAGGGGACACAGTCACCGCCTAGAAAGAATAGATGCACTTGTAATGATTCAGTGGCCCGCCTGAAAGCGACATGCAGAGGCAGCTGCATCTGGGGTGCTGTCTTTTCATACTCACTTGATAATGCTAGTGTCAGTTTCAGCTACCGCGTGTGCCAGATTCTAGACAGCTTGATCTGGCATTTGAGAGCGGTTAATTGTGAAACTTGAGAAGAAAATGGGTACACTCTTCCAAAGATGGCTATTCAAGTACATTTTTTCTCCCCACAGATTTCTAGATCTCACTTTTGTTACTTCCACATGAAATGCAGAAGGAGCCCTGAGTGCTTCCCCTGGCAGCTCCTATATTGCCATCGTTGCTGGGACTGTTTTGGCTTGTTAAAATGTGCCCTATGTATCAAAATGAAACTGTCACGGCTGGGTGGTGCCGCGTAACATGGTTTGACACTAAGTGCCAGCAGCTACAGAAAACAGACTTTTATTGCATTTATTCTTTGAGAGAAGAGAGTCTCTAAAGGCACACAACAGACATTTACTTAGTTAAATCTGAATGAACCCAATGTGAGCAATCTACACTGCTGCCTTTGTGTTCGTAGAACTAGCCCCCACCCAGCCTCACGTGGCAGTAAAACAGTGTTAAGAAAAGACGGTCATGTTGAGAATCCAGAAGGGAAGACTTGACACTTCTGAACCACAACAAAAACATTGGAGGTGGGTGAAGTGAGTTCACCACCTGATTTTCTTATTTAGCTTTTGTGTATTCCCTGAAACAACCTGTACACACACACACACACACACACACACACACACACACCCCTATTTAGTTTTGTTTTTTGTATAGAATTCTATGTCCTTTTAAGATAAAGAGGATTTGATTGGTAGGTCTTTTGCAAGCATGCTATAGAGTCTTAACTGCCTTTTAGCTAGATGAGTATCCAGAGAGAGATTGAACAAGGAGGGGGCTCTAGGGCATAAGCTTTTCATTCCGTAGGTCTCCTGGAATAAAAATTCCATAAAGTAACATCTGTAGTAATTAAGGGCTTACATTTCCACTCCCATTCATGTCTCTGCTAGGAGGAAAGGTTATTTTCCCAAAGAGGCAATAGAGAGCAGATCCTGTGGGAAGAGAGAAAGAGCAGTTAGAATTCTTTTGTTCCTAGAAATACAAGTTTCTTACTTTAAAAATACTTATTTTAAATAAATTGGAGGACTGTGGCAATAGGTTCCACTGGAAGGAAACCAGTAAGAGCTGGGAAATTGCACCTATCTTGTTCTAAGTGTTAGAGATGAGAAAAGATTCACCTTGATTTTCTTATTTGAATATCTTCTGATGGGGGAGCTTACTATTCATTAGTAAATGACATATTAACTTTTTAAAAAAATTCATCAATTTCACATTATGAAGCTTACAGTGCTTAATTTACAACACAAATTTCTTCATTCTTAAGATTTTCTTTAAGTAATACATAAATCTCTGCTGTCATCTGATAAAATACTGGTCAAATAGTATCAAATTACTTTCTTCCACGATACTTTCAAGAACCATGTAAGCAACATAAGCTATGGAGCCCGGTAAAGGACAACACAGGACCCTTGGTTTTAAAATTAACAGCTTCAAGATAGTGGTGTAGAGATTTCAACCCTGTGCGGGGTTGTTCTAAGGAAAGCGCTCCACGTGAGGATGAGGGTTGCAAGCCCATGAGTGTCCTGGGAGGAGGGAGAGATTTTTCATGCACAGCAATGCAGAAAGTCTTCTTCCCATTCTTCCTGGGGTTGTGTTTCTAAAAAGAAACTTGTTCAGAATAGTCAGAAAATAATTACAGCTCCCAGTGGAACCCACTTCAGATGTTATCTGTGAATTTATTAACAGGGGTTCAAACACCTTGCCTGAGGCTTGCACCAGTTTCCCAGTAAACTCTCCACTCCGCCTTGGGGTCTGCACCCTCCTCTGCCTCACAGAGAGGACATCAGCTAGCCTGGCAGCACACGCAACCCCTTGATCTTCATGTCTCTCCCAAGGTCTTTGCCACCTTTGGAGCCTGCTTCAGCGCTGTCCTGGCTCCTCTGCCTCCACTCAGATTTGAATTTCTGTAGCCATAACAAATATGTATAACCTGTTGGTATTTGTTAACATATTGACCTCATCTTGTTTCTCTTACATGTAATATGGTCCCAAAAACACATGCAAAATTTACATACAGAAAGTTTCTACAATGTGTAATGATGGGATCCATTCCAAGAAGTTCATATTAGTAACATAACAGAAAATAGAAGTTATACTCTGCCACTGGGACAAATTTCACACATGTCATATCCATTCTTTCCTGAGTATGCGAGCTGTTTTCAAGCTTACTTTTGGTTCTAGTGTACCCTTCATAGGGTACACTTCCATTTCCTTTCAATCTTCTCCATCTAACTGTATAAAAACGATAAAAGCGTGTGTAATTCATTATTTAAATATTGGTGCAAATGCCGCAGTAATTGAGATATATCAACATTGCCAAAATGAGAATGGTATTACTCTAAATGCTTGTTACTTGGATTTTATATGAGATGCCAAATTTTTGCACAAGAACTACAGTTCAGGAGTATTGGTATCTGGTACAATAGAAAGTGAGGGTTTGTTCTAGCTTCAGAATGTGGAGACCTCAGCGCTGTGTATTTATGCTTCTTTCCACGTGTAGGACCTCAACTAGATCCTATTGGGTATCTTCCCTACCACAGATTTTCAATAAAAGTGTCATGATGCTGGAAACCACAGTACTGTGCTAATCACTGTTTTAGGCTGCAAGTTGTTCAAGTAAAACACATTTCCTTGACTTATTTTTTGTAGCCTGTCCCATTAGAGCCTACTAGTTATAGCACAGGTTTTAATACTGGGCAGGCATTGAGTATTAAATCCTCAATCTACCACTTATTGGAAAGCAAGTTCATCTCTTCAAGCCTCAGTGCCCTCATCAATATGACCTACCTTTCAGGTTTACTAATGTGGTCCTTCAATAAATATTTATTGATTTTTTTCAAGTGCCAAATCTCTTTTTATGAATCAGAGAAGACAATATCTCAGGGTTACTTCCTGCTGAAGGAAGGCTCAGCACAAAAACATCAGCATAGGAAACTTGTGACACAGGGGATAAACTTTCAACAGAGATTAGTTTCTAAGGTTTTATTACCAGATGTTCAGTGTGGTAATGGCAACAGCTGAAAATTTGTGTCATACCAAGTCAAGCTTTTTCATTACATTTCTCTGTCTCTGTCTCTCTCTGTCTCTCTCTGTCTCTCTCTGTCTCTCTCTCTCTCTCTCTCTCTCTCTCTCTCTCTCTCTCTCTCTCTCTCTCTCTCTCTCTTTTCCTTAATTTCTCCTTTCTTTTCCCTTTTTTGATAGTCAGGACATAATAAAAATATGGCAAAATATACAAAAGCATATAAAATATATAGAAATGTTTGATCTCGCATTTACCTTCTTTTCCCAGAATGGAATCGACTGAAAAATGTGAAGTGGTAATTCAACATTTTAATGGAAAATATCTGAAAACACCACCAGGCATCCCAGGTAAGAACTATCATGAAAAAGTCACCTTGGCTTATTGCTATTATTAAAACGATTGCATAGTGAGACAAGACCTGTTTTTATAAATGTGTATTTTTCAAAACTATAGTTATTCATTTTTCTCAGAAATTTCTTGATAATTCCTCTTTGCCCTTTCATTAAATACATAATGCTAATTTCCCAACATGTATTAAAAGGAAATCTTAATAAAGCATTGTTTAAAAAAAGGCACTTGAAATGTGCAAAGCTTATGACCCTTAGGATTAATATTGAAAGCCTATGGTTATTTTTTTTTTATTCAGTACAGAGTCTACAGGGTCTCAATACACAGATCAGATTGGTAGTGATCCTCCTGCTTTCAGCCACCCAAGCACAAGATCATTCTTAAAGGGAAAGAGGAGAAGAGATAAAGGGAGTAAAAAGGGAGAAAAGAGATGGGGATGAAGAAAGGGAATTGTGATGGGTTCTGTACACGGAATGCCAACATTACAGAGGGAGTATAAGCATTATGCATTGTGCACATGTGTAATAAAAATTTAAAAAATTGAAAGCTTGATTTGTAATTTACAAAATAGCAGTAATATTAATGGTAGAGTCCACAAAGTGATGGCAGTCTCTAAGCATCTGATCAGTCCATGATAAGAAAACTTGAGAAAAAGTAAACATTTAGCAACTTTTGTGATAATTTGACATTGTTATGAGATTTGAGTGCGTGATTTTATATTTTACAAAAATATCAGTTAATAATAGAATAAAAATTTCTAAAAGTAGTTAATAGTCATTAAAGATAGTTTACATTCCACTCTGGACAATCCCATGGCATCTCACAATTATTCATGACAAAATTCTTAAAGTTTTATACCTGCTATAAAAACATACAGTAAGGCTAGTAAGAATTATCTTCAGCATAATAGAACTGAGTATAAAATGCCAATCAGAGCTATAAAGGACTCAACTTGGTATTAATCTGACAATAGAATATTTGGAAAGTACTTGATTTTAAGTAAATTTTAAAATCAATTCACTAATACATACAGAAATTAGTGATTGAAGGAACTGTTAAAGTGGGAAAAATACAATGAGTGAAGAACTGTCTGATTAATCAATATTGGTTTATTTGTCTTTTGATTACGGTAAGTCTCAGAAGAAAAATGACTTTTTCGGTCTTACGATATTTTTCTTTTGCTCTTAAGAATGGGTTTCAGTAATGTTTGGATGACAATCATCTATTTAAAATCCATTGGTGTATTTGTGGGTTGAGTATTTCAGACTGTTAAAATATATTGATATCCTAGGGCCAGCAAGATAGCGCAGTGGACTAACTTCAGGGAAGCGCAGAGACTGGGGTTCGATCCCAGGCACCACATGCCATGCCAACCCCGTCCCCGGGTGTGCTGAGCCAGCCACCAAGTCCAGGCATGGTGGTGCCTACCTGTAATCCTAGCACTGGGGAGGCTGAAAATAGGAGGATCACTACAAGTTTGAGCTGCATAGTGAGACCCTATACAAAATACATAAATTAACATCCTATAGAAAAAATGTAAATGAAAGAAACAATTGTCTTCGGAAATCAAAGATATTTTCTGACTGAGTGGGTTTTGGAAGGATGTCAGAAAGGCAGCAAAACTCTTCATCCTGACACAGAGATGACAGGAAAACTCCCAAGCAGCTGATCACTGGATAATCAGCCGGTGAACGTACAGTGAAGTCTGTGCTTTCTCTTGGTTGGCTTCCATGTGTGACATCCCCTCGAGAGCTGACTGCATTATGATCCAATTGGAGACATATGGTGTTGTTAGGAAAGGAGCTAGCAGTTTTCATCTCAGCATGTAAGCTGCCCTTGCATTCTAGGAGAAGTTTTTTTTTTTTTTTTTCCCCTTTTTAGCATAAACAGGCATTTTAAGATACTCTGCTCAGATCTGTCAATGAATAATGGAGTTGCACTATAGCGGATTCTCATCTTCTTTATACCAATTTACCCAACAGTTGCTGCCTATGCAAAACGTATTTGAGCTACATATGAATTAATGATGTAAAAAGATTTAAGAAAACTGTGTGGAAAAAACTGTTGATTAAATTTCCACGGATTTTAGCATTTTAGGTTTCTTTTTTTGGGGGGACTATTTATTGAAATCGTTTGTGCTATAATTAATTTGAAGATATTTTATTTGATTTTCCCCCATAGAACACACAGATTTCTAATTCTATTCAATGCTAAAGACAAAGGAAGTCACTGTGCTCTCCCAAAAGTCTGGGTATTTCTCATCAATACACAGGCTCGAATATTAACCTATCTAATATCATAGCTACACCCAATGGAAACATTGTGAATTACAGGAACTTGGTTATGAGTTTCTCACTTACTTGTATCTCATGGGAGTAAGAAAAATAATAATGATGTCTAGGTATAACTTGTAGATGTAATTTTATGCTTCTGAGATTTGCATTTAATGATAGACTTAAATACATGATAATAATCATCATCCGTTCACAGCTTTGCTCATTTATTTAGAAATCAAATAAAGTTAAGTAAAAACTTCATTTGCTAACTGAAGATACTTAGACTTTCATACATAAAGTTGAAGTAGAACAAAAGCGGCCATGATGCAAAGTATGGGCACGACAGGCAGTAGAGTAGAAAAAAATGCCCTCTTTTGAGTATAGTTACTAAGTTATTGCAGGTATAATCACTTTTGGAAATATGCTATCTGCCTTAATTGATCTTCATAGCTGATTTGTGGTATATAATTCAAATCCTATTCTCAGAATTTATATCTTAACCCAGTTTTCTATTTCTATCTTGAAAACAGAAAGTAGCATATCACTGGGAGTCCCAGCTTCAGATCAGAGACAATCCTTCATTTTATTTTTAAAATGATCATTTTCATAACCTCTTTGAATATAATACTTTAGAGAGCTGGCTATTACATATGGAGACGCTATTTAAAACCAACATTAATTCACGTGATATACTGGCAGCAACAATAGAATTGAAAAAACTTGAAGAATCTCAACATTTCACGTTATTAAGATCTACAAAGATTTAAGTTCAGAAATTTGTGAATCTACAAAACTTCAGATTGATGGCTTTACTGCACTGTTTTAAGCTGTGCAGGGAGGACCCATGGAGTTCCTGTAATGATGTCCTCAGACACTAAGAAAGCATAGAAAGGCTTGAATGTTAAATCAATTGTCTTCTGTTCATAATCGATGAGGTTGAGAATGATCTAGGAAGTAAGGTCGTAGATTTCCTTTCATAATACAACTTTGCTTTCAGTCTTACTTTAAACTAGTACAGATCAATTTGTGATGTGCTCCATATGGCAACTATAAATACAACTTGGGAGACATGCAGAAGTGTGCAGGCTCCACTGAGCTACTACAGAGGCATTCTGTGTATCGTGACACTGATGATCACTATGACAGTTCATCCAAAGCTCATGATTGCCCTGACATAGCCATCTAATTTCCAAATTCCTGATTGTGCTATTTCTTTTTTTTTTTAAGCAAAAAGAATTCATTCTTCAACCCAAAACTTTGGCATGGTTCTTAATTTCAATCTAAAAATTTCATACTATTAAAGATATTTTCAAAGACATATGACACTGACCACACTTACATTGTCATCACCATTTTGATTGGAATCATCATAGAAGCAATATATTTATTAAACATGATTTGCTTCAGTATTGGATTCAAAAGAGGCTAGCTTTTAGGTCAGGCTTATCTCTCTCTGAGTTGCTCCCATTTAAGAAGATTTATCTTTGATGAGTATCATTTATCATGACTGTCTATTAGATCCTCCCCAAACTTCCTCTGTTCATTTTAGATTATGAGGTTATCACCAGATTTTGATCTTCTGGACCAAGAAAGCTAAGTATAAAGTGTATAATAAAGAATCACATTGCAATGTCACTTATAGCAGGCAGGAAGCAGAGGCCAGAGCCACGCATCAAACAGTGTCTGTCACTGTCATTTGAGGAGAGAGAGAGAGAGAGAGAGAGAGAGAGAGAGAGAGAGAGAGAGAGAGAGAGATTATCTAAATGTCTAGTATATTCTCCCTCCCTTAAAGAAAACAGAGTGTTCCATAAATGTTGCATGTCCTACATATCGATCTTACTGCTTTCTCGACAAAATGAAGGATCATTAGTTGCTTGCCTGCCTAACCCCAGACATTCTTTCGTCCCGTAATGAATTGCACAGCTATGGTGTGCAGCCCCAAAGCGTTCCATTTTCAAATAGCTAGTGAAAGCAAAGGGAAGTTCCCAGACACTTCAGGGATATCTGCAGGGCATGAACTCGAAAGGCTCACTTTCGAGGCGCCCCCATGGCAGCGCAGCGCACGGTGCAGAAAAGGCTTCCACATGTAAGGACATGTGTTCATAAACGGAGCATGCAGCCTGGTTTAGAGAAAAATAATCATATTTTGCTCTCAAACCAGACTTTTGCCTGTAAGTACATGTTCATATAAGTGAATCTGTCTTTTCAGAAAAAAAAAAATGAATCAACCCCTTCTGATAATATTTTCTTAGATTTAAGGTAACTTGTTTTTAATTTTAAATGAACTCCAAAAATGAGGGTTGAGAGGAAGGGTACTATATTGTAGGGCTCTTAAATAATAACAGATCAGCTTGCCAACAGAAATTCAGATAAATAATTAAATACCAGGGAAATAATGTTTTTCTGATAAATAAAATAAAACAAAACATGTAGGCTCTTTTGATACTTTAAGATAGCAATTTTACTATTTTATGTTGATGTAAATATATATATATATATATATATATATATATATATATATTTACCATGGACTATATGTATACTTCATGAGTACATTCAAAGATGTTTAAAATATACTATTTTTTAAAGAGAAAGCCACTTGTTTAAAGCTAACACTCCTACCACTGTAAAATATAACAACATATTTAAATACAATTTATACTAAAATAAATGTCTTAAAAATCTGAATAGTGAAAAAATTAATTTATAAGTTTGTGAATGTT